GGATAGTGGAATGAATGATATGTGATCATAACTGAAAAGCGAATATGCATTTGGTCTGGCGCATTGTTAATGGGAGACAGTATGTAATTGCATGTGATTAGAAGGTGCCAGAGAAAGTATGTAATCATTAAAATAGTGCATGGCAGATAGAGACTACGTGTTACACCTAGCAATGAGTTTTACATGTGGCATGCAATGAAATTAGAAACAACCGCTGCATATTATGAAAGACATCTGGACATGGCTTTGATGATACAGGTAGCATTATTGAAGGTACAGGTGTTTAAGCCGAAAATTGTTGAAGGTTCTGAGCTGGTAAAGTGCTATATTGCTATCTGTGATTGATTAAACATCTTTCTTATATTTTCAAATAGCTGAAATAGGTATGTAAATGGAGCTTTGTCAGTGCGTTGTTAAGCTCAGTAAAATTGAATAAGTGGTAGGGTAATTAATATAAAAGAGGTAGAATGTATCAGACAAGTTCTGGTTTTTAAACTATCTATTTTGTGATTTTGAGTTTTCTATCTCCGTAGTTAAAGTCATGCATTGGCTTAGTCATTTTTAATATCAGATCAAAGGCAGAGTCATTGAGAATTTCTTCTGTAACTGGAAGAGTTGATTAGTTAGCATTCTTAATATTGCAGAAGAATGAGAAAACAAGGCCGGAGACAACATTGGTTTTTTATGATATACTGAATGATTTCACTTCTGAAGAAACATATAAAGAAGGTTGACCTTACACCTAAAGTACAGAGCATACTGTCTGTGTCACAGTAAGAATGAGCAGTATAACGTCAGCAATAACAGAGATGATAGACCATGGACTGCTAAAATAATCGTTGTATAGCATTGTATACCACATAACCAATTCTGTCACCAACTTGTGTCTCTATGTTTTGCATCTGTCTGGGTATGAATTTGAACTCATCTGAAACATCAAACTTGAAAGAGGAAAAATTACTGTAACAATATGTATTGCTTATGTGTCGCTGCTTTACACGTGTGTGGCCATGAATTTGAATCTGTCTGTAAGAATTTCAGCATGTTTGTGTCCTCAGATTACACACCAACAAAAAGAAATGAGAAGTCCAAAAGAGTCTCTACATGCAAGAGCTTTCGAACCATAGAAGAAAGAACTGGCTCTGCTATGCACTTGTGCATTGGAATGACATCTGCTAGAGAACCTCCATCCATGTACTCTAGAGTTATGCTTATTTGTCCAGAATTTGGAGTGTAAAAAGCTCTATAGAATTCAACAAGACCTTGATGATAGGGTGCTTCACACAAGGTTTTTATTTCATTAAGAAGTTGCTACTTTTTCTCCTGATATGTGCATGGTACAATGTTTTTCTTTTAGGGAGGTAATATTTTTTGGAATTTGTTGTGATTTGCGTAAGAACGCCAGGCACCACTCTTGCCATTTTAGATGCAGGACTTGTCATTCAATCCAAGACTTTCGTTCTAATATTCTAATAGGTCTTTTGACTTAAATGAGACTTGAAAAAAGTATGTTAATTGCATATTTCACTTGAATCTGCAATTTCGACAGAGACGTATAACTTATATTTAATCATAAACTTTTTGTCATAATTATAACTTCTTAAGAGAAACTTTACCTGCACCCTTGAAATTGTACTCTCTTCGATGAGTGGTCACATAATCAGAAATTATTCTGCTGAATAAAAAAAAAAAGGATAAGACGTCACTTGATTAAAATGACTAATGCAGTGGTTCAGAACCTTTTATGGACGAAAGTCTTGAGAAGCAAAAAGCTCCAAGCAAGGCAAGTAGTTAGGGAGAAACGAAAGGTGTGCGGCTAATATTTTCCTAATAAACATGAAAAGATTACACGAGAAGAACTGGATTGCAAGTACTTATTTCACAAGTTGGAGAATGAACTTCCAAAATGAAAACCCAAGACCAAAGTGCAGCACTTGACAAGAGGAGGACAAAGTGCAGCACCAAAACTAAATGCTAGCCTTCCTTCGCCACGAGCCCTGTGGAGGGGAATAAAATATTTTTGGGGTGAGTTAGAAACTCAGCGAGTAACCAGTAAAAGCAGTCATCAAATATATTTCACAATAATGCATTTCAATGATGTCATGATTCCAAGATCAAATGTACGTTTATTGCTCTCGTGAGCCAGTGAAATCATTGCACTTGAACACCCAACGCTCAAATAGATCATTTAACATTAACAGTGAGAGGGAGCCCCTTTTTGAGCTCCAGATAAACATGAACATGAACCATAAACAGGGTGGAGACGTTGGTGTCCAGCACAAGACTTTCCCAGAACTCATTGAAGCCAAAATCATATCATGAATTCACATGCAAGCACGCATGAGATGCCATCGAGTAAATAATGCAAGAAACATTTCAAAAATAACTTTGGAAACAGTTTAGGGTCACTCACCTCCATGGCTCAGAAACCATCCATCAAATATCATTGCCTTACTCAAATCCAAGCCTTAGATCACAAACGCAAAGCAATCAAGCCCCTTAAAAGTTCGGACAGCACTTCCCCTAAATTTGCTTACTTTTCCAGCCGTCATGGCTTCATTATATTTCTCATTCAAACCCAAAGGTACACACACAACAACAAGTTCATTCAATAGCCATTCAGCAAGCTCCCAGAAGTACAAATACAAGTCAAGCTAGGGAAAAGTTCGGAAATGAAAGTTAAGCTCAAAACCAGAAAAATAGTTTTTGACATCATTTTGCGATTTTGGCACCAAAGGTACTACGAGTATCGGATGGAGGTACAAGACCCACCGTTTCGAAGATAAGAGATAAGGCTACAATGTTGAAGAAGGCAACTCTGTCCAGTATCTAGTGTAACCAGGTCAAAAATGCAAGATACTACACCAGAACCGCAAAAACAGGTTCACCAATCGCATTCTGGTGCAAACATCATAAATGAGCCTACCTAAGCCCAAATCCAGAAATTCCAAAGCCATCCGAAAGCTAAGAAACAGGGATACATTTCATCAGAAGACCTCAACAACCAATTCGGAAGCATTCCCAACCAAAATAACCCATTACAGAAGCAATTCTCAAATTCGGGTAGAAACAGGGCAGCAAGGGTAATTCCATCTTTTCACAAGCTACGCTACTCCGATTGACCTGAAATTTTGCAGGCACCTCTAAAATATCATTCCCTACAACTTTCATGTTTTAATCCAAGGCCAATTCGGCCTCTAACTATGAGCTACAAAACTGGGCAGAATGTAAATCCAAGAAACCCTAATTTTCCAGATTTCTTCCAAAACAGAAATTGCTTGCAATTTACCACTTTTTCCACCTTCTAGCTTCCTTAAATATCATTTCCAATCATCATACATGACCACATAATCATATCCATATGAAAACAGAAAAATCCCCAATAATTATAAAACTTCACCAATTCAACCAAAATCAAGATATAATCCATAAAAGTGCATCTTATACCACCACCAATCATGAATTGAACATCATTAGAGGAAGGAGAAGGGTTCTTCACAACTCACCTTAGCAATACAAGAGATAGAGCAACTAGTCACCTTAGCTTTCCAAACAACTCCACAAAACACCTCAAGACCACTTAGCAAAGAGATTTTATGGAATGATTTGGAGTTTTATTGGTTGGATTTGAAGATTGAGCAAGAAATAGAAGGAAGAAATTGATAGCTTTTCTTTCTTTTGCTCTCCAATAAATTCGGCCAAGAGAGGAGAAATAAGAGGATGTTTTGGCCAATTTTTGGTATTTATTTGGTAAAGGTAAAAGTAAAGTTAAATGGTCAAAGTCAAGAGTGAATTAGATGGTGACACTTGTCACCTTTAGGTTTAAAACTTATCTTTTTGTCTCTCCAATACAAATATCTTAACACCTTGTAAAATAATATCACTTAATACAAAATTCCAATAAGTTGTCAAAAATATAATGCATTTACCGCACTAGCGGGTCCCACGTCCAAAATACGCTCTTAATTTCTCAAAAACTAACCGATACTAGAAAAACCATTTTAAAACTATCTTTGCTCATAAACTTTATCTGGGAAATTTTTCTAATAAAGAAAATGTAGAAAAGGCGGGCGATTAAATAAAATAAACCCTAGAAAATTAGAAAATTTTCGGATTCTCACACTCATTCTTTCAGGGCGTCACAATTGTACTTGCCTAAGAGGGATAGGCTTGGAAGTACTGAAACTGATTTTAACCTTAGTTTTAGGATCAACAAGAATTACAACTTTTTCTTCATCTTCTGTTCCAGTCAGTTGATGAAACCTGACTTTGTTTTTGACCAGTCCTTTTTCTGTTGACAAGTAGAAGAAAACTCATATTTGTTGGTTTTGAACTTGGAACTGGGAAGAAGAAATCAAAAGGAAAAGTAAGAAAAGTACATATATATGTTTGTTGAATGCTCAAAATAAGGCAATAAGGCAAGAAGAAAGTAATGGGGAGCCAAATGTTACTTTTTCAGCCAATAAGATTTCTTTAATCTAGGAGGGAAAATTTAAAAAAAAATTAAACAGCAAAGCTTTCTTTTGTTTTCTGTTTTGATTGCAACAAGAGGTATAAGCAAAGTATTTATCTTGTGCCTTATGTTCTATTATACAGGATAGTGAATTTTTCATTATATAGTATGTTAGGAAGAAAATTGGAAAGTTGCACAACAAGGATCAAAAGGGAATTTTGTGTACTAATGACTGGAGAGATTTGCATTCATGGCAGCAGGGTTAATATAAAGTTCTAAGATAAAACTTTCCTCTTAGAGGCTTTCAGCGATTGCCATCTATAACACAATTTGGTTCTGAACATTTCTTGATTATAGACCTTGAGTTGAACACTTTGCTTTTCCTTTTTCTTTTTTGGAATGTACACTTTTTGCTGGACTCACGCGATTAAACATATTAACTAATAATGATATGATCAAGCTATTGGTTGGCGGTGGATGATGCTTGGTGAAAATAGTAGACATTTGCTGGAGTCCTTCGTTCTAGCAGTAGTATAAAACATATTGTTCATTTGTGTAACAAACTTGGCAATACCTGCTTTTACAAATAAAGTAGCAGGGAAGCACAAACAAAATAAATTTGAAATGTAAATTAGCATAAAGAGTTAAATAACATACCTCAATCTGCATTAATATGAATTGCCAGCATATATTCATTAATACTTTGACATTACTTGATGTTCTGCCATGCGATAATGCAACATATAGTTGGCCATGAGAGAAAACAGGCTCTTTTAGATATAGACCGACATAATCCAAGGTTTGTCCTTGTGCTTTATTAATCGTCATTGCAAAACATAATCTTAGAGGAAACTGTCTTCTTTTAAAAGGAACTGAGCAGAAATCATCATCAGAAGTTTGCAAGGCCAAGCGTTTCCAACTATGTTCTCAAACTATCATCATCAAGTGACCTGAAGCCACATTGGCCTTAATGTACACCAGCAAACATGTTAAGCAACAATCATACAATCAGGTTATTGGTTGTCGTTGCATGATGTTCAGCCAAAACATCAGACATTTCTTAGAGCCTTTCGTTCTACTAGTAGTACAATTTCACAAAAAAAAAAAAAAAAAAAAGTTGTGGGGAAGCAGAAACAAAATAAATCTGAAACAGAAATTAGCAAACATTTTGTACCACCAATTAAGGTAGGCTCGGGTTTAATCCCACTGACTAATTCATCACACTGGAACAAATCTTTGGGTAATTTTTCAAACAAGCCTTATACAGTTCCTTCATACATACCAGCATTTCACGTATACTGCCACTAGCCGTTGGGTCAGCCCCACTAGTGCGCATTTCTTTTGTACTGCCACTAGCCGTTGGGTCAGTCCCACTAGTGCGCATTTCTTTTATACTGTCACTAGCCGTTGCACATTTCTTTTATACTACCACTAGCCGTTGGGTCAGTCCCACTAGTGAGCATTTCTTTTGCATCGCCACTAGCCGTTGGGTCAGTCCCACTAGTGAGCATTTCATTTTTGCACCGCCACTAGCCGTTGGGTCAGTCCCACTGGTGCGCATTTCTTTCATTTTGCCACTAGCCGTTGGGTCAGTCCCACTAGTGAGCACTTTATTTTGCATCGCCAATAGCCGTTGGGTCAGTCCCACTAGTGCGCATTTCTTATATTCTGCCACTAGCCGTTGGGTCAGTCCCACTAGTGAGCGCTTTATTTTATACTGCCACTAGCCGTTGGGTCAGTTCCACTAGTGAGCGCTTCATTTACACCGCCACTAGCCGTTGGGTCAGTCCCACGCTGTAGAGTCCTAGTTTCATTTACACTGCCACTAGCCGTTGGGTCAGTCCCACTAGTGCGCATTTCTTCTATTCTGCCACTAGTCGTTGGGTCAGCCCCACTAGTGAGCACTTTATTTTATACTGCCACTAGCCGTTGGGTCAGTCCCACTAGTGAGCATTTCATTTTCACTGCCACTAGCCGTTGGGTCAGTCCCACTAGTGCGCATCTCTTTTATTCTTCCACTAGCCGTTGGGTCAGTCCCACTAGTGAGCATTTCATTTACACTGCCACTAGCCGTTGGGTCAGTCCCACTAGTGCGCATCTCTTTTATTCTGCCACTAGCCGTTGGGTCAGTCCCACTAGTGAGCATTTCATTTACATTGCCACTAGCCGTTGGGTTAGTCCCATTAGTGCGCATTTCTTTTGCATCGCCACTAGCCGTTGGGTCAGTCCCACTAGTGAGCACTTCATTTACACTGCCACTAGCCGTTGGGTCAGTCCCACTAGTGCGCATTTCTTCTATTCTGCCACTAGCCGTTGGGTCAGTCCCACTAGTGAGCATTTCAGTTTCACTGCCACTAGTCGTTGGATCAACACCACTAGTGCGCATCTCTTTTATTCCGCCACTAGCCGTTGGGTCATTCCCACTAGTGTGCATTTCATGTTTCATTGCCACTGAACATGGGTCAGTCCCACCAGTGAGCATTTTATTTTTCATTGCCGCTAAACAGGGGTCAGTCCCACTAGCGTGCATGATTTCTTTGCCACTAGCCGTTGGGTTAGTCCTACTAGTGTACATACCACGATTTTAATTTTTTGTTGGGGTCAGTCCCGATTTTAAATTTCTGTTGGGGTCAGTCCCCTCGGGTCAGTCCTGATTTTTAAATTTTATGTTGGGGTCAGTCCCCTCGGGTCAGTTCCGATTTTAAATTTCTGTTGGGGTCAGTCCGCTCGGGTCAGTCCCGATTTTAAATTCCTGTTTCGGGTCAGTCCCGATTTAAATCCCCTTGTTCGGGCCAGTCCCATGATTTTAATTTTGTGCGGGTCAGTTCCATGATTTTAAATTTCTTGTTCGGACCAGTCCCATGTTTAAATTTTTGTTCGGGTCAGTCCCATGATTAAAATTTTATTCGAGTCAGTCCCATGGTTTAAATTTTTGTACAGTCTTCATTGCAAAAGCGTCAGTCGTTCGAGTCATTCGCAGCCAAATAACACAGGTAAGTATTTGGTGTCTACTTCTTTATTTCAAGTTTTTCCAAAATTCAGACAAAGAGGGGCAAACTGTAGACACCAAATTTTTGAGGTATTTTTGTTTACTATTATTTTTATTTTTGATTAATTTCATTTACTTTTTGTCTTTTATTTTTAAGTCATTTTATCATTTAATTATCTTTAATCATTTAATCATTTAATTTTTATTTTGTTTGTTTCGATTCTAGGTTTTATTTTATTTGATTTTTTGTTTCGATTCGTGACTCTTGTCTTGCTTTAATTGAATCAAGAGTTTTGCACTAAATTTTCGGACAAAAAGAAAAAGAAAAGAAGAAAAGGAAAAGGAAAAAAAGGGAAAAAGTCAATCAAAGGGACAAGAATAAGACACATAAGCCTACTTTGGGGTTTGAAATCTTGGCCTTCCATATTAGGTCTAGTCTTGTGAGGTGCCTTTAAAAAGCAAAACAGCCGCAAGAGAGAGGCAAGTGGGGATGACGGATGGGGAAGAAAAAAAAGAAAAGGGAATAGAGAGCAAAAAAGGGGAGCTGCAAAAAATAGAAAGAAGAACAAGAAGAAATCTGGAAAATGGGAAGTTGGCGGCGCAGAGGAAAAATAGAGGAAAAGAAAGGGAGCAAAAGGGGGGCCTGGGTTGAAAGAAAAAGGGAGTGTTTCATCGGAGGCTAAAAACAGAAGCAAAGAAAAATTAGAGGAGAAGGCTTCGGCAACAGAAAAACAAAGAGCTACGGGAAAGACCTGGAACTTTTGAAGGCTTTCGGGGATTAAGGAAAACAGAGGGAAAGGAAACAGAGGAGGCGGCGGACAAAAGGGGGACGCTGGGAAAAAGCACAGGGGGAATGAGGAGTTTGGGAGGCTGCGAGGGGAGTAAGGAAAGAACAGAGCAAAAAATGGAGGGGGTTTCGCCTGAGAGCAAAGGGAAAAATGAAAGCTTCGGTGAAGGAAAAGAGGGCAAGGAGATGGAGGAAACTAAGCGAGAGAGGGTTGCAGGAGAAAAGGGGGCGGACAAAGGGAAAACAGAGGAGGCTTTGGAGTTGCAAAAGGAACAAGAACTAGAAACTCTGGAAAGAAATTGAGAGGGGAGTGTTTCTGGAGTTCGGACTGGGATTAGAAAGGAAAAGCTGTCGGGCAAGCAAGTGAAAAGGGGAAGGAAGAAACAAGAAACAGAGAAAGAAAATCTGGAAAAGAGAGAGAGTGGAAGGAGGTCGACTTAGGAAAATCTGAGAAATTGCAATCGCCATCGCCGACCGCTTCCTCACCGCCGGCCGCCAATCGCCCCAACCCAAATCCTCCGATGCTCAGGTCAATGAAGCCACCGCTGTCGGCTGCTACCGACCATGCCATCATCGACCTCCTGGTCTAGCAGTTGCAGCAGGTGGTTGCTGCCCACCAGACGTTTCCTAGCGCTCCGCCCGCTACCCCTGCTGCTCAAAAGCACTCAATCTGTATCGGAGGAACCACCGTGAGAGGCCAAGGTAAGCTTTTCTTTTTCTTTTACATTTCAGTCTTCTTTCAAGTACGGGTTCTGGAAGCTCTCAGAGCATGGCTGCCGTGGGTCTGTCATCGTGATTTTTTCTGTTGATGGTCTGTAATTTTTGTTCGCATATGTTTTCTGTGTGTGTTGGACTGAATTCCTTGCTTTTCTGGTGATTTTGGGGCCGGTTGTCATGTAATTTGAGCAGAGATTTGTTGGAATGTTTTCGTGCCCATTCTGTTTGTTAAAATGTCCGAGTGGAAGTTACACTCGAAAATGATTGTTTGCATTTGCGTATGAGGAAACCAGATAAGCTAGTCAGTTCGTTCCCTGGTGATTGAGAGATTTTGATGTATGGATGTTTTGCACCCTCTCTGTTTTCGTTCCCTTTATGTTTCCCTTCGCACAAATTCGAATTGATGTCATAAGAGGGAGTTTTGTGAGCTTCCATGTTTGTTGAGGATGACTGGAATTGAAACCAAATTTCTGGTGCAGCTTATCGGAAAAAGGAACTGCCATGTTAACTGATAGCTCGGTTCGTGTATTGATGCTCTATTTATGTTGTTTAAAGAAAGTTTTGTGACACTTGGTTTCCAGTTGCTTGGTCGAGATTGTCAGATGTTTTTGAGTAAACGGAAAACTACATTAGATGAAGCAAAGTTAGCTTAATGATTCTGGTTTCATGTTTTCTTTTATTGCATGTTTTCTCCTTTTGGCACATTAAGGATCCTGTCCAGATTATGTTGACAGAATGGATTGAGACTTTTACTAGCGTTGGATTAACAAATTCGTGAGCTTTGCTTTACCATGTAGAATCCACAGAGTCTCATGTTTTCTTAGAATTAGGCACGTTCTTTTGTTGTCTAAGTCTTCATTGTGCCGCAAACTTGCTGCCGAACCATTTTGCATGATATCCTTCCAGATTTTTGCATGATATATTTCTAAGTGTTTTGGATTGTGGAGGTTATTTGCTTTGCTGCTTAGTTCAAAGTTTGGATAGATGAATGGTTTTAATCAAAGCTGCCTAGAATCCGCTTGTGAGTTGAAAGTAGTGATTGCATTTCTTTCGTGGCATTTCTTTTATCTCTTAACCCCCTAAGCTTTCCTTTATTTTACTATGGCCCCATAAACTTTTAATCTCCTTCAATTGGGTCCTTATTTTTAATTGGAAATAGGTCCCTGAATT